TAGGCTAAATATCATTATTATTTACCATTATTTAATTTTTGATATACGAAGAAAACAACATTTTTAAACCATTTGTTTAATTAATTAACAAATATGCAAACTTGGTAGTGTTATGAAGTTAATAATAATATTTTATACCATCTTTATAGAGAAAAAGCATCTACACAGTAATTTAATACAGCACACAGAAAAATAAGAATCATTTAGTCTATAATCTAATTGTGATATATAGTAGAGATGGGTTACCAGGAGGAAACCCAATCGGAGTTAAATTGTCGTGTTAACTAAAACAATGGTCTATGTGCCTAACATGGGCAAGAAGACAAGCAATCCCACCAGACTAGATATTTCACTTTCTTCTATTTTTCTTTGTTTCATTTTCAGAAGGGCGGTGTAACCGTGCTCTCAAGTTGGATTCATTTTGGGAAACTTGAACCCACACCACATGCTTTACCATAATTTTAGGTTGCTGCAAGATACCACTTTATTATCAGTTAGTTGATTCATCTCCTAACATTTCCTTCAAAACAATTAATATACAAACACTATTCATCTCCTAACAAAAAAAAAAAAAACACTATTAATCTCCTAACATATTATAACACTCACTATACATGGCCATGATAAAAACTAGAAGAACAGTCCCATCCACAAAAATATTTTCAATGCTCCAGAATCATGGAGTATTCGGTACTTCTTTTATTAAATATAATAAAAAATAATATTTTTATATTATCCTTTCTTTTATATTAATTTTCACTCATATTCCATAATTTCGGTTTTGGACAAAGAGTATGTACTCCAGGACCAAAGAAAATGAGCTCCTCGTCCACAACTCAAAAAATTACTATTGGTTTAATTTATTGGAAATGTTATACTTACTATCTTTTTTTCTTACTACTAATTTTATTATCGTGGGGTCAAAATCAAATCAACAGCTCTCACTTGATGTTACTTTGTAACCGTTGATTTAATTTTGATCTAACAATAATAAAATGTAATAAGAAAAAATGATAATAAGTATAACATATTCCTTAATTTCTTTAGGTTTGTGACATTTCACTTTCCAATTAATCTTTTTCTCTAATACTCAATTAAAAGCAACGATGGGAGGATTAGAGAACAAATCAATCCATTCATTCAGACATGAAGACAAAATTAAAAGGGTCTATCCATCTTTGTTAATTAACTAGTAAAACATTAATAGAGCAGAGTTACTTTAAGCTTATTAAGGGCTTTCAAACATGGCTTGGACATAGGTTCTCACCACTAACCAAATGTTAATAAAGGTACTAAATTCAAGGTAACTTATGTGACAAACAAATACTTGAATGATGCTCAAATTCTGCCTAATATTAAGGAAGCAAGATAAGCTTAGTATCATCATTGTGAAGGCAGTTATATGAAATGATGTACTTGGACAATTTGAGTCAGTGCCTGGCAATGAATGGCCGTTAAGATGGGGTTTGGAAAACCAAAACGACATATTAACCAAAAGGGAAACGAGAGATAGCGGCAATGGCAAACCAATGTGAATGTCCCATCCTTCTCGCCCTCCAAACCTCACACAAATTTTTATTAAAGTAACTTGTAAATTTGTAATTGACAGGGAAACTTAGCTTGTTAGTTTGGTGGGCTTACTTTCCATGATAAGACACTAATCTAAGTTACTGTTTTCTGCTTGCAATTTGGTGGGCTTACGCAATGGCAGTCTTTATTCTCTTTAATTGTTCTTAGAAAAGTTTCTACAGGTTAAAGTGCTTTCTTATCCCAAAAAAATTTTATGCAATGGTTGTACTGAATGTTTGAACCTATGACTTTATGCAGACTATCATAACCCCCTCACCACTACACTAATGTCGCACCTATTTGTTCGCCTTTGTCCGCAAGTGGGAACATAAACCTTGAAATTTTAATTTTTTTTTTTTTAAACGTAATAGTAAAGCATGATATTGGTTAGATTAGACTTTGCTTGGATATATAATGAGGGATGAAATAAAAAATGATTGGAATACAGTAAGATGGAATGAGATGCCATACGTTTCATTGGATATTTTATTATGTCATAAAACAAATTAGCTTGATTAAAAAAAAGATGTTGGGAATAATTTTTTATGTTAAGTAGAAGTTTTTTTTTTATTTATATTTTTTGTTTTTTAATGCATTTAAAATTTTAATTAAAAATTTTTTCACTCAATGTGCAGATATAAATAATATTTTCTGGATCCCACTGCACTCAATCAATCCTAATGACTTTCTTATCTAATTTTTTTTTAAAAAAAAAATTAATAATAATATCTGGATTGTTTATAACTTCCACTTGCTGGTTAATGCCAGTATAGTTGTAGGACCAGCAGAGCCGTTTGAGAGGGCATATTAAAGGTCGCTATCATTTATTTATTTTGAGTAGAATCAATTTCAAAAATTGGAACCGTATTTGCAGCGCCAAACAGATCTTGATTCCTCTAAAATTGAACTTGAAGGCAAGTTCAAGTTGACGCACAACAATGGTTGGAGCCTCCTTTGGGCCTACCAAAAGACATGCATCCAACGTGATTTATTGGGTTGAGAGCGCAAGTGTTACTGTTTTCAATAACAAAGACATGAGAGAGAGAGAGAGAGAGAGAGAGGTCGTTGTGAATTAATACGGCTAATTAAGAGCACTGGTTTTGGTTACTTAGAGAGGTCACTTTCAACTTAAAGAGAGTATGCCCTGTTTGGATATTGTTTCTCAAAATAGTTTTATTTTTATTTTCAGAAAAAAAAAAAACTCGTTTGATAAGGTTTATTTTATAAAAAAAAAATTATAAATTGTAATTATTATTATTTTTTAGAATTAAATTTAAAGAATATGTCTGAATTATTTTTATTTTGTGTTTCGACTTTTAATTTAAAACAAAAAAAATACTTATTTTTATAACTATTCGTAAAACAGAATAAAAATATCAGAATACAATGAAACAGACCTATATATTTGGGCTCCACATTCCATGCATGTAATGTGACTTGTGACACGGTTTTGCATTTTGATGCTTGAGAATGGGAACAGCTAACTTTTGCTATGAGAAATTCTGGCTCAGCCACTTTGCTTCAAGCAAGAAAAATCCAAGTTGCTATTGGGCTGCTGCTACTTTTTATCTTATTATATGGTTTTTCTTGTTGAGACGAGAGAGCCTACTAAAGGAGGGGAACGGTTAATCCTTCTATTCATCTAAGCCTTAATTATATCGCCCAAATTATCCAAACTATGAGGAAGAAATCTCATCGAATTGCCTTCTCTATAAAAACTGGTTTAGAATCATTTAGAATATGCTAGTCATACAAATTTCAGTTGTTTTTCAATTAATTTTTAACTTAAAATTTGTTTGGTTAAAAATTTATTTCAAACTAGCTTTTATCTAATTTATATTTACATTTATTAAATTAAAATAAAAAACTTAAAATGTTCGTAATGACCAATTGACCGTTACATATATGAGTGATTCTTATGGTGTCTAACTTAATAATTACTCTGAGGTCTAACTGAAGATGATAGAAAGGAGTAACGAAAAATAAGAAAAGTATATAAAAAAGTTCGACTCTAATTTTTTTTTTTTAAGAACTAGTTTATTATAAAATTATTTTTCAGAGTAATCCATTAAAATTTTGGTAGTTAACAAACACCAGATATGTAAAAACTGGCCCGATTATACTTAGATACATAATTTTAAGAAGTTCTAACTCTAAGACACTTCAAAAATAGTCAGAATTGAACATGTGTCTTGATGTTAGTTATGGGCCAAATGTGCTTCAAACTTATGAATTGGATCTCTTCACTTTTGTAGGACCCTCACAACCCTGAAACACTAGACTCCAAAGTCCAAGCCCATAACTTGTTATGAATTGGATCTCTTCACTTTTGTAGGACCCTCACTCTAACATAAAAATTAGGGAAAAGTTCACTAATGACTATGTAGTTTGCTTCAGAATCATCTATGTTCATGTGATTTTTTTTTATCACATATGTCTCTGTGCTTTGTAAAAAATTAAAAATTACAGGGGCATATGCGATAAAAAACATACCCTTTTGCAAACCACAGGAGTATATGTGATAGAAAAAAAACCACAGAAATATAGGTGATTCTGAAGCAAACCACAAGGGTATTGGTGAACTTTTCCCTAAAAATTAACAATCAACTCATGCTGAATTATTTTTTAAATAGTTCATAATTCTCCACACACACAAAAATAACAATTACATTGGAACAATGATTATTTTGTCGCTATTCATCAAAATATTTATCAGACTGCCACATCAACAGTAAAAATTTTCAGAATGTCAGGTGGCATAATTCGTTACGACTGGTAGCGAATTACGTTCATTAATGATTTTGTGACATGTGACACACTTTCGCAGGAAAAAGCTGACGTGTCATAATTCGCTACAGTAGTAGCGAATTTGATCTGCAATATGGCCATGTGTCATTAAATCATTGGTCACGAAATTCGCTATCAGTGGTAGCGAATTATGACATATGACAGTGTGGTAAAAAATACTGTTCACGGGGAATTTGGATAAAAATTTTGCGAAAAAAATAATATTGTGGTCAATGTTCCCCATACATTGTATTTATATAAAACGAAATATTAATGTATTAAAAAAGAAAAAAAAAATGCGAAATATTATTAGGGACACGTGTCCACTAGTTTATGCGAGTACGCGTAAACCTATACATTCCGACAACGACAACGTTAGTGCATCTTTATTTGTTGTAGATTCTGATCGCTGTAATTCCGTGTATTGTTTCCTCTCTTTTTTTTTTTCTTTTCGCTGTTCTTTTTCTGTCATTGTATTCTGCAAACTAAAAAGATGTTTTTGTTTGTGCCTATTCCACACTTCACAACTCACAAATCCCTAACGCTAACTTCTTTCCTTCTTTCTTCTGGGTATTTCTCTCTTTCTCCTTAATCTTTTGCTTTTGTTGTGCTTTCCACTTGTGTTTGTTGGATTCACCTTTTGCATATAAACACCTTCTTCCCCCCCACTCCCACTCCCACTCCCTTAACAAACCCCCATCATCACTGAAAACGGTTTGCTTGCTAAATATTTGTGAAATTATTTGAATTTGGTTGATACCTTCCCATTTGTGAATCATCCGTTTTCTGGGGTTGGATCAAATTATCAATAGTCTCTTGTTGGATGTTCCCTTATTATTCATGTACTTTTGAAAATTGTATTTAGTCTTTGACTCTTGGGTCATATCTATACTCAAATTTTACTTTGGTAATATTTTTTTTTTTTTTTTTTTGGGTGGTAGTAAAGGGTGATACAACAGATGTAACATCCAATCAAGATTGCTTGTAAAATTTATGGTATTTGGAATGATAGCAATACATATTTAAATCTGTGGCTTTGACTTTTCTGTACTATACATCAATTATGAATTATGACTCATGACATCAGTTCTTACTTGGAGACTTCTATCACAAGTTAGCTCCTGTTACTACATATCCTTTTCTTGACCCTATCTCATATTGTCTCTTATTGATTCACTCACTGCCCTTTCACATTTCACACACTAAGTGTTTTTGTAATTCATAAGCTTCTTTACGAGAATTTATTAATAATTTAAGATGTTGATTAGTGACAACTTGGATATCATTGTTTTGCAGACCTCAATGTTCTGAATGATTTCTGGTGTTGGTGCAACGATACTTTAGCTTTTAGCAATATCTGCCACTTCCTAAGGAGTGATAAGAAAATGCAGTTTTATCATCATCCGTTTGATTTGGACAGCCAGAAAGTGAGACTTGCGTTGGAAGAGAAAGGCATTGATTATACATCTTACCATGTCAATCCCATCACTGGCAAGAACTTGGATTCCTCATTCTTCAAGACCAATCCCAGTGGAAGACTTCCTATTTTCCAAAATGGCTCTCACATCATTTACGATACTATTGATATAATCCAGTATTCTCTCTTCCCAAATTTTTCATCATTCTGTTAACACTGCCTTGAATTGATGTGGATAAAAGAATCTCCATTTTGAAGATTTATGCAGCTTTAGAAATTAATCAGAGAAAGAAATAAATAAATAAAAATTGAAAAATTGATTGCTGACAAAGCTGCTTTCTGCATATTGATCATTACCCTGCAAACCAATTCTCTTGAAGCAGCCTATTGCATAAGCTACTTTGGATAATTGGGTGGTTTTTATAGTTTCTTGATAAAGCTTAATCTCAGAATGAAATGTTGAATTTGAATTTACTTTTACATGCTTTTGTTATGAGCATACGTTTTATAGTGCCATTGGATTTTTAGGTACATAGAAAGAATTGCTGTGATATCCTCAGGTTCTGAGAGTATCAGCATCAGTAGCAGGGAAGTGATTGAATGGATGCAGAAGATACAAGAATGGGATCCTAAGTTTTTTACCCTTTTCCATATACCAGAGAAATACCTGATTTATGTTTCCAAGTTCATAAGGAGGGTGGTGATTGCCCGAATGTCTGAGTCTCCTGAGTTAGCAAGTGCTTACCATGAGAAGTTAAGAGAAGCCTATCAGACAGCAGAAAAATTGAAAGACTTAGATGTTTTGAGAAGGAGCAAGGAGCATTTGGTTAGACTTCTTGATGAAGCAGAGATGCAGCTGAGTAAAACACGTTATTTAGCAGGTCAAGAGTTCACCATGGCTGATGTGACGCTCATTCCAGTACTGGCTCGTTTAGTACTATTGGATTTGGAGAATGAGTACATAACTTGCAGACCAAACATTGCTGAGTATTGGGTTTGGGTTCAGCAGAGGCCTAGTTATAGAAAGGTGATTGGTAAGTATTTTGATGGTTGGAGAAAGCACAAAACATTATTAAAATCTTGGTACATTGTTCGTATTAGAAGTTTGCTGAAGAGGTACTAGTCAAATACATATATAATATAGGACTCATGGTTGCCAAAAGGAGGTTGAATAAGTGACTATATGAAAGAGCTTTTTGCATGTGTTGTAGATAAGGAGGATCTATAATAAACCTTGGTCTTTGTTTTTATTTTCCCTTTTCGTTTTCAACATGTTTTTTTGCCTGAGATAGAAGGGGGAATCTTTTTTTCCTTTCTCCCTTACTGAATGGTGATACTAGAAACTGAGTTTGGATTTGTTCCAGGATGAGATGGGAGTGAAATTGAGTGATGCATGTTATTGGATAGTATCCAAAAAAAACTTTGGACGCAGTACTAGAACAATTCATGGTTTCCATCTTCCTTCATTAGTTAAAAGACAATAAGAGGCAAATTTGTGTTTCTTTGAATCAGTTAACTATTTCTGTGCAATGTTCTGTCTACTGATATTGGAACAATGCCTTCGTGTGAGGGCCTTGTTATGTGTACACTAATTTTGTTATCTGTAAATGTAATTACAGCAATAAAGTACTTATTTTCAATACTAGATTTCTGCCTCCTAAACAGACCCCTCTGGTGTTATGCATTTTCTACTTGCTTTGTTGTACGAATATCATGAACCAAAGTTTCAGTTTGTAATAATAATCTCATTGTTGCTATTTTTTTGTGATAGACCGTTGATTGCTTTATTGATAGACATGACAACTGTTAGGTTCTAGTCTATGAAGTTAAAACTATTTTGTGTTTATATTGTTTTTCATTCTTTACGTAGAAATACTTTTTTTGTCGACATTAATAAGATAAGTGATTAAAAGTGAATTATAAATTAGTTTCTCGATTTTAAGCTAAAAAAATAGTGTTATTTGTAACAAAAAGTAAATTAGATAAAAAGGTAAGGATAGCATATTTTCACCTGTTATATATATTAGAGTAAATACCTTTTTTGGTCCTCACGAAGCCCGTTTTAGTCCCTAGCAAATAAAAAGGTCCATCGTGGTCCCTAAAAAATTTAAATTGAATCCATTTTAGTCCTTTTGAGGACTAATATGGCTCTTTTTTGAATTTGTGAGGGACCACGATTTCAACTAAATGGGTCCTTTTGAATTTTTAAATGACCACGATGGGCCTTTTTATTTGCTAGGCACTAAAACGGGCCTCGTGAAATTTTCTGAGGACCAAAAAGGGTATTTACTCTATATATTATCCTCACTTTTTAAAATCAATACTGATCTATTTATTATCTTCACCTTTTTTTGAATGCGAGTTTAATTATTACAATCAAAGTATTTTAACTACGAGTTGTAATCACTGAACATAGTTATTTGTGGGAGCAAAACATGATTATTAGTTAAGTCACTGCCCCAATCAGTATGTGCGAACTTAGGCACACAAGTAAGTGAAATGTATCATATTATTATCGTAATAAGTGACAACTTTTCAGCATGTTATTATCCTTGGAAGATGGAACTATGGCTCTGTTACACTCTTTTCCACCCAACACCTACGAATCTTGTATCCAATGTTGTATTTTCATGAATATTGCTCAAGAGTTCTCCCAGTTTCAAACAACCTGAAGATCACGGTGTTGTCAGATTTAATGAGCAAAGGATGGCTGCAAAAAATTTCTATAACATCTAAAATTGGACAACAAATCCAGCCAATCACAAAAGAGTTGAGAAGGTCAAATCCAAACCAAAAAGATATCAAAAAGCAGCTGATTGTGGCACATTTTTCAACTTGCCCATGTTGTGAAAAGTACGAAAGTGTTGTGAAAAAAATTAAAAGAATCTAACTGCAGGAAAGTATTCTTACTTTTAAATCAATTTAAGGATCGAAACACTTTAATTGAATAGGTTCTTTTATCCTTAACTAATAATATTTTTCTTTTTTATCTCAAAACCAGTTCAAAATCGATTTAAAATCAATTAATTTTGTAAAAAAAAAAAAATTGATTTGGTTTCCGAACCAAACCACATAAATCGATTCGGATCAGCATAATGGAACCAAATTTACCCCTAATAAAAACAACTAACATGAAGAAAAAAAAAATTCTTCCAATTTGTCATATATAAAATTATTTATAAATTTCATTTAAAAATTAATTTTTTTTAATAATTAATTTATGATCTGATATTTGATTTTTATGACTAATTAGTCTTGAATTTGATTCTTACTATCATTATGTTTTAAATAGAAATTACATTTCAACGCAAAATAATTGAGTTTCGTATATTGTCAATCAAAAGACGTATTGAATATAAAATTATTCAATATGCTGATTGACGCAACTGTTTCCATTTTAATTCTGTAAATTCAAAAGGCATAAATCTAGTTAAGTTGCAACGGAAATTGTTATCAACACAATGTAAATTCGTATTCCAGATTGAAGCATAACAATTAAAATCACCAGATCAAGCACCAAATTATGGATAAAAGAAGTTTGCCATTGAATAATAAGAACAGAATAATACACTGGTCCTTACCAAAAATAAAATTGCCAACGAATAAATCCATCTTTAATCTAGACGGGAGAAAAAAAAGGAAATTGATGCATACATTGCCCCATCAAAAACAAACATTTCATCTCCATTTATTGATACATTCACAGGTAAAATTTTGACGCTTTTTTAAAGTAAAGAACCAACTTTAAAAAAGAAAATGAGATAAATGACCCATTAAGTAAATAACTGATTTTCTGGGTTCAAATAATAAATCAGACACAAGTTAGATGATAGCAAGGGAATTAATTCATTATCTTTACTTATTTGTAAATAAAGATAAGGAATACAATCTCTCAATTTATACCAGTAGGCATAATATTCATCTGTATTTAGTCTCAATCACGAGAGCAAGGGAAATGTTTAAACAAATACTATAATACTTGTCTCATCAATGCTGTGTATTACCATCACAGGTCTTCTATTTTCTGAGAGGAATACAAGAGAAACACCTACCTACCTCCTGGAGGTTTGGGCAGATCAGTATTCAGAACAGCATGATACCCCAGGTACAGTGTATAAAAAGGAGAAGAATGCTGAAATTGAATGAAATTTTCATTGAATAATAGATTCGGGAACAAATGAATTGAGAGTACATAAATGTATATGGAAGAAAAAAGAAAACAAAAATAATTTCTTTTTCCTGTGAACAATATTTGTGTTGCTGCTTGCATATGCTAATAAATATTATTGCCACCTTTCTCATCTCTACAGATTGCATCCTCAGAAGAACATATAACTTTTGACTCTTTTGGTACATCTACATCCATACTACACACATCACCACCACTGGTGTTGTTCCCATTACTTTGCCATCCATTCCTCCTGAACCATGGTCGGTGTATTTTTGAATTATTCCATTTCTGCTGTCTAAAGTACCTCCTTCCCAAATCACTTGAATCTTCCTTCAACCGTTTAGTAATGTGTTTATTGTCCTCGCATGGATGGTTAATGTCTTCAGAGTTAGCACCAGTTGCGCCGAGAATCATATCATCTGAGCAACAATTAACCAGACCACTGGTATCCCACTGCTTAACTTCAGCAGGCTGATCAATTGTCATAGCATTAGTAGTATTAGAAATTTGACAGTCTTTGTCATCACGTGGATAAGAGGGTAGTGGAGGAAATGGGTTAAAAGGCATGCCAGGTGCAGTGACCCAACAGTGTGTGCTTTCAGCATGAGGTGTTCCATATTGATGGGCAACAGACCATGGTATTCCATAAGAGACAGGCAAGCGAGAGTTGAATTTCTCTTTTGGATGACCAATAACTACATCAGAGGGACATCCAGAATGTGTAGCATTTTGAAAAGCAAGATCACCAGAGTTTAGTGAAGCATTTAATGAACCTATTGGAAACGAAAAGCCAGGTGGAACATCCTCATGAATGTTCTGACTTTCGTTAATAGAGCTAATAACTGCATCAGAATGTGAATTTGTCTCCGCTGGTTGATCCCATCGGCTTTTGCGCTTCCGTTTTTTTGCCCCTTTGATTTCAGCCCCAGCTAGAGACGGTGCAGAGCAGCCCTCCTGGGCTCCAGCATCTACTGAAGTTGTGACAAGCATTGACTGCTGACCACTATCAATTGCTTCTGTAGGTCTTGAATCCTGATCATGTCTATGATTATGTGATGCTGAAAATCTGTTACTATTGAAACTTCTGTGATATTCCACCCTACTATCATCCCTGTCCATATAGCCATGTTTTCTGACAGGTCTGGGAATCCATCTGTCTCGGAAGTTTCGAGCAATTTGATGAACCTACATGTGCAAACAAAACAATGAAAATACTCAAAAATTCAAACATGATTAAGAAAGTCCTCTAACAGCATGTTTTGGGAGGAGGGAATACAAATGACCGAACTGACCCAACATCAATACACAGAAGAAATGAAAAGTTAGCATAACACCTACCTGTTTGTCATCATGCTCAGTCAGAGACAACATTGACTCCCTAAAGCTGAACATAAAACCAATTGTTAGTAAAAGAATAGAACTTAGAGAGCAACAGAACAATTTCAACGGAAGAGAATAGTGCAGTTAATATGCAGGGGGGGAATAATCACAACATCTCTTCAAATCAGGGGGAAAAAGTGCAAGCAATTTGAAGATTGGAAGTAATGAAATACATGATTCCACAGTCAAGATTTAAGACAAACTACAAAATTATAGAAAACTTCAAGTTGGATCCATAAAACAAAAATCTATATACTCGAGTACCAAGAAAAGCTTTTATCCCAATAGGAAGAATACATATGAGATCCACATTCTTTAATATTTCATCCACAACAGGAATATCATATACTTAATACTAATGACCAAAAAATGACACATCAATATATTGCTTACTCTTCAAAGTGTTGTTTGTATGAGTAAAATACCAAAAATTTATTTTATGGGAGATTCAACATTTTCCCGTTGTCTACAATATCTTTAGGTCATTATACATAAAATAAGCTTGACATACTAAGATATTAATGATAAGCAACAGCCCGACCTTTTTAATTATTCCAGAATCAGGCACTCTCTATATCATCAATTTCATACCCCCTGCTCCCGAAATTATGGAATAGAAAAACATTGATTGTAGCATATTTCATGCTTCTAAGCACTCGACAATAACCTTTTTTTGTAGCTTGTGTCGATCATACCAGCCAAAACAAAAAAGGTGGTGGAGGAGAGGTTATAAATTAAAACTAATACCTTGCTCAGTCCCATAGGACAGAAATTACTACAAGTTAACCAATTCTCTTAAAATTGCTTCAGTGAATTCAGGGAGAAGGGGTAAAATTTGAAATTTTATTACCTTTCCATTCCCTGGCAAGGAGGACCACCACTGATATGTTCAGATGTCAATATCTTGCTTGTTGCTAGGTACTCTAAGACCTGCAAAAGAAAGTTGATTAGGCATGTGCCCTACTATTCTATTTATACTCACTTCACTATAAAATAGAGAGCACGGAGAAAGGAGGACAGCAAAGAAAAGATTAGGATGTACAAGCTATCAACTTAATGAAGCGTATAGGACGGTCAAACCTATGCACCTAATCAATAATTAACAGATTGAACCTTCGCTATATTCAAACATTCAAACTGTATGATTAGAGAAATTAGCCAACATCTAAATGAACGGGAAGGAAGAACATGCATTAACATCACGCAAATGTCAACACATGGCCATAGGACAAGTAACAAAATATGCTTTCATGTTTTTGGTGAACAGAACAAACAGCATCATACCCAATCATAAAATATGCAGTGAATTCAACACAAAATTAATTAAAGGATTTCTATTGTTCGGCAAGAACAACACTAGTATGTCACTTGGTTCCAACAGCTCAGCAAATCCTCCCCATTTTAGTATCACGAGGAAAGGTAGCGCACTCCTTTAGATGTAAAGTAAAACTACGCATCTCTGAAATTAGAAGGTAAATTACACTGCTTTGAGTGCTATCCTCCTTTGAAAAAAATAAACAAACAAAATTACTTCATTGTTTCTCTATATATCTGACTTCGGGACTAAAGTGGCCCCATACAGTTGATGTCTGCAATACAATCTTACTTGAGCATAGACAACAAGCTAACAATTGAAATTCACAACCCAGGCTCTACAATTTCAGTTTACAGCAGACAACAAATTATTGATTAAATGGCATGAAATTCAAATATCGGATTGAAATATCCATAACCTCTTAGGAAAAATGCAGATAACAGACAACTTAAATATTAGTAATTTCACATCTAAGCACCTTAAGAAGCTTTCGTAGTATTGGAATTTTTTTGAAGTCCTGCCTGTACTGCTTCATTATGTTATGTAACATCTGTAAACCTGAAAGACAAAGCTATAGTTAATTTTAGACACAACCAAAGGTATGATGAGTTTACACATTCCAGATATAAGGGGGAAAATTGCATTACATACAAAACAAGTATAGATTACCATTTTTGTTAATTATATCATTCAGCACCGCTCTAGATTTTGTTTTCAGAAGGGCATCAAGGATCATGGAAAGATCTCGATTGCTGCAACAAAAGTTTAAAATTTCCTTTACAAAGTATTTACATGTCCATAAAGCATGAATACATATAGTACAAGCCTGTATAACATGTTCTTAATGAAGAGAAAATATACTACTGAAGAAACAAAAAAGGCAAAGACGAGAGGACCTTTGAATTGCTTCACCATTGATTCTATCACCTGATGCCACAGTAAGAAGCAAAAGTTTCAAGTAGCCTTTGGTGGCATCCTGTTCCAAGAAAAAGGGAGGGGTGAGGGGGTAGTCAAATGGTGAAAATTGATAAACCATAAAACTGCCCGGGTAAAAGCACAATAATACAACCACTATAAAGGCTTTTAGGAACAAGTAACAAATTTGAAGAAAGAGAATACGATGGCTGACAAATAAACAACAATAAAATTAAGATATTACAGCAGTAGAGGTTGACATTTCTTGCTTTGTTACATAACCAATATTACTGTTAGAAAGCACACTAGAGCATGCATGCATGCACAAGCTTCTGAATAAACGTACATATTTGGAATATTATGTTTACTGGCTCCAATATTCAGTACTTACTTTTCTTTTGCTTATTCCCCCGTCTCCATCCAGCAGCTCATTAAGTTTCTCCTGAACTGCAGGTAATGAAAAGGTTTACCCATTATAATCAGTTTCAATAACCATTTTATCAAAATAATTAAATAAATAAGGATTACCAACCTGCTTCAAACCGTCCATTGGAAGAGCCTTCTACTACTTTTTTGTGTTTGATAGATGACAACTGCATTCGGTTGGCTGTCACCTCAGGTTTAAGGCCATTTGGAGGATTAGCACGAACCTTTCCCTTTTTGACAGAACCATTTTGTTGGGGAGTCTTCACAAGCAGATGTGATTGTGAAAAATAATTCATGCCTTCAACTGTTTCAGACTTAGATTCCCTATTACTACTACCAGTAGAATTGGATAACACTTTGCTGACAGTTGTAAGGGGAGGAGTAGTATCTAATCTTTGAACGGAGGAAGTTTTGTCTACAAACTCTGACTCCATTGAATATCCTCCTTGTAAAGCAGACACGGGTTTGCTTGTTACATCTTCCATTTGTTGAGAAATTCTTTCTGCTCGAATAGAAGATGGCAACTTGTCTTTTGAGTCCACTTCTACTGAGCTCTGCAACAGGGAAACAGCAGAGGCAGGGTTCACAGAACTCTCTTTTTCTGTAGAACCATCAGCATCTATAGCAGTTTTAGATTTGGCCAATACATCCCTGCCTTTTAATATATGTCTAGCAGACTGTGTATCAACATTATCATAGTACTTGGGTATAGGTACACTGTCTTCAATTTCACCATCTTCAATAAGCATCACAGGTTCTGGAAATTCTTCATCTGAATCACCTTGAACTATCAGTTCAGCATTGAGCGGATCACCACCACCTATATATCCTCGACAATGAGGTGAACCACAATAACACTTTTTGGCAGCAGCACCAAAAACCCTTACATAATTGTAATCAAATGTCAATTCTTCATCCTGGGGAAGGTGGTGGAAAAAAGTTCAGCTTGACACAGAATAATACTTACACATGCTTACAGCCACGTAAGAAAACAATTAGCAACTGTGTTTCATATCCAAACTCAAAAGTAAGGAAATAGGACCTAAGTCCTCTATACTAACAAATCTTATAACTACCTCCCCCCCCCCCCAACGACAAAAAAAAAAAAAAAAACCACACAAAACAAAAAGAATCACTTCATGGCTATTCTCTTCAAAAGTTTAAAGACATCATATCACATAAAAAAAATTCAAACTGATCTATTTCATCAACTTCAATGGTTTTTATATAAAACAATGTTCACAAATAATTATGGATTGGCAACAATTTTACATAGATCTGCAAACACTGTTTTTTCTCACTTGAAATTAAAATAAAAAATGAAAAAAGAAAGCATAACCTGGGTACTAACCAGCATAGGTCCAAGACAAGCAAGGAATTAAATATCTCTGAGAATTTTTTTCAAACGTGCAACAACAACAACTAGACTCTACAAGAAAAGGAAATGCCACAACCATAAATCTCCCAGTCTTCTGTCCGATTAAGCATTTCCATCTGGCTCAAATGGCCAAACATTTTGTAAAGAACCAATTCAACCTAAAGCAGTAAAGCCTAAGTTATTAGGTGAAGGTCACATATGGTCTTTATATTATATTTTTCTAATACGCCCTCTCAAACAAGAGTCCATTGGACTTGAAAAGTATACAATGTACAAGCCCACCTACATGTGCTAAGAAACTTGTGACCATTGGGTCAAATATGCTCTTATACCATATAAAGAACTAAATCAACCTAAAAGCTTAAGCTATAAAGTGAATGCCACAATTATGATTTGTTGAGATATATAAAATCATTAATGTAGCCTCACCCAACAGCTTAAGCTTTTGGGTTGAATTGGTTCTTTACATGGTATCAGCGCCTCAATGTACCGGGTTCGATCCTCACCGCCCCCACTTTCTTTCTAGTGGAATTTCTTTCTTCGCACAGGTAGGTGGGCCTGTGCATTGTCCACCCTTCAAGCCCAGTGGACTCTCGTGTGAAGGGGCGTGTTGAGATATATAAAATCATTAATGTAGCCTCACCCAACAGCTTAAGCTTTTGGATTGAATTGGTCCTTTACATGATTTTTATATCATATTTCTCTAACACATTTCTATATTTCATCTGTAGTGGAAAGGCAGCATAACCAATTGTTTTCATAAACAGATTCACATTTTCCGCATGGTTAATAATCATACTTAATACATAACAGACACGCACAGGAAAATAAATTGAAGTTACTGTTTCAAAAACTCAAAATCGCAATCAGCAAAAAAAATCCACAACACAAAAATGAAAGATCTAGTTGAATTATCAAAGAAATAAACAGATAAAAGTAATAAGTGGAGGCAGCAAGCACACCTGCTTAATATCCCTCAGTGCAAACAGTCCAATACAGATTTCCCCATTCACCATCCACTGTTCAAAAAGAGTATGGAACACAAGGTCAAGTAATGTGAAAACAACAGAATAATTCCAAATGTCATGGTATAGCCACTAATATGTACAAAATGTTATTAAGGATATGTTCTGGAAAAGCATACACCCACATTCCCTATTGTGAGTTAAGCAACATAATGGACATATAACTATGTATTTACATGCATTGGATGTACGACAATCCCAAAGTACTTCTCTTGACTGGTTACTCCCTGACTCATAAACCAAGAGTATTCCTCTTGGCTAAGGTACACCCCCGATAAACCTAAAGTGTTCCTGTAGGGCGGAGTGCTTCTCCTAATCATGTTTCAGATACTCCTTGTATAAAGAAAATATCATCTCTCAATTATGTAAAAGTCCAAATTACATGTGGTACCGAAAGGGTATTTATCACCCAAAGGTAATAAAAGTCCTAGATAAATTCTAATAAAATATGAAAATCTTAGATAAATCCTAATCAAATAATAATTTTTTAAATTATTAATTAAAAAAATCTTAACATAATAATTTTCTGAAATATGAAATCCTGATCAAATAAGAAATCTCAACATGATAATATTTTTCTAAGAACGTATTTTCCAAAATTTCTAAGAATAACATAGTAATTCCTAAATAACACAATAACATATAAATTTGCTTCTCCATATTGCATCATGCATTGCATGCAATATGTAAATTTTCTATGAACATATATGCTAATAGCAAGAAAATAGCTCCTAATAAAATTTAAAAAAAAAAAAAAGAGCCTCTCTAATATGACCTTGCTTTAAAAAACCACAAAAAGGTAATAATATGTTCACCTTTTCTGTCCGACAATTAGGGTCACAACTATGATTAATGAAACGCCCCAAATTCCCTTTTGCACTCGCATCTATCACCTGAAAATAAAGAAATGGGAGTGGAAAATGGAAGTAAATAACTAACAGAATAACTGAAAAAACTAATAATAACAACAATTACTGATCTTGTTGAAACAACCAGAAAAAAACATCATTCTCAATTCTCAATTGCACGCTCAAAATAATTACAATGTGAATAGCATGAAATGGAAAATTTAAAATGTGATAACTATCCAAGTCTTACTCTTGATACATTGTCCAGCAACTGGATACTGGCACAACATAAAATGAGTTACTTTGCACTATATCAGTAACTTATGTGGTGTTTCGTTTGTTTTCTGTTTTCATGTTGAGTTGATATGTTTTCCCTAATAATCAGAAAAATGTCACCTTGCTTTCATTTTGTTCCCTGTTTTCTCGAAGATAAATGTTTGACTTATTCATGCCCGTAGAGTTGATCAATCTGGGATGTCTATTGTTTTGACTTTTTGACTAAATAGTTAGATGGAAATTAAGGTGTTTGGTTAGCTTTCTGTTTTCAATTTTAGTTGATATATTTTCATTAATAATTACAAAAATGCCACCTTGTTTTCAAGATGTTGTGAAGGAAATGGTAAAAAATACTCTATTTAGGAAATAAAATGAAAACAATATGCCATTTTTGTAATTATTAGTGAAAATAGATCAAATGAAAATGAAAACAAAAAACACATAAAACTACCTCTTAATTTCCATCTCACTATTGGAACAAAAAGTTAAAACAAATTGACATCACAGATTAATCAACACTAGAGGCATCAATAACTCAAACAATTATCTTCTAGTCAAATCACATTTTGCTGGTTCTTGGTGTCATTTCATCAATTCAAAAATCTGAACTTTCAATATACAATTCAAAAAACACAAAATACAGTCTCGATAAGTCATCATCATTTACACAAGTCATCAGCAGTGGTAAACCAGAATAGTCCAACTAACAGCAAATGAGCAAAATACCAAGACAACTATATTGCTAACAAGATAAATTTTACAATCAATTAACTATATGATGTCAAAGCAGTTGCCCTTTAACAGGTGCGGTTTTCAAATTGACGTGATTTATGGGTTTCCATAATTTTGTATACTTTCTAGGTGGGAGGTTATAGGGGCCACATGTTAGGTTCTACTAAATTGTCCAAGCACCTGGAAGGTGCAGAGATTTAATGCAAAAGAATCTCATTCCCATAATTTAAAGAAATAATTTAAATCCCTTTTTTGTTTTTCTTTGAAGGAAGGGAAGAGAAGGAAAGAATTTCCATTGCATATGCAATATGGGATGCATTTTAACAACAAAGCTAAACTATAACTACTATCTATAGATGTAAAATAGATATGTTCTGCAACACTGTAAAACGCAAACAAATCCATGTATGTTTTTAGGCAACAAAGGTACTCAGACCACTAAAAGTAACAACTTAAATATTTTTTCTTTGATAAAAAACAAATGAAGTTGTTTCCATTAGTGCGCAGATATAGGTTAAATTCACATACCTCACTGCCATTCAAGGTCATAAAATAGAAATGCCTATGACCCTTCAAAGCATACTCTCTCTGCCGTGCCTCATAAGCATGCATGTCAAGCACCTGTTTGAACCATAAAATAGATATTATGTACATAAAGGTTGATGATATGCAAAAACTGTGCATCACCTAAACATGCACAAAATGCCCTTAAGTAGAATAGCACTGCAAACTCTATAAGAGATAACATAATGCAATAAATACAGAATCCAATCTGCTTAGAATACTCGTTGCCCTTCATTAAAAAGAAGGGTTGATTGTTAGACAAAAGCTATTCTTTATCCCTAGACTACATGCATAGGCTATCAGGTTGAGTGGTGCTATGCGGATAAAACCCATCCTAGCTACCTCTATTGTTATTATCATCATCATCATCACCATTCTTATTATTATTATTATTATTTTCAATTTTCTTTGGTTACTACTGAGCTAAAAGCTTTAATATTTTTCCGTGGCCCTTCAATACTATTTAAAGAGCAATTCCAATTGCACAAAAAGAAGTCAGTCAAACTATCTACTTCATCTAGATGACTCATATGTTAGTAGTCCGCTCAAACCAAATTGGCCCACTGCCCACTTGTTGCTATTAAGTCAATCAATTAGCAACATTAAGTCGGATGATATTTTTTCTACAGCAAAAAGAAAATATAGGAGGATGAGGATCCACAAATAATATATGGGCAATGTTAGTCTTACGCAATAGGAATTTTTTTTATCTTATGTCCATACATCGATACTTGTGCCATTTCTTTTTTATTTATTTTTCTTCTTTTTTCTATTGGGCCCCACTTTAAATTAAGTGTGTAGGAGACAACAAAATTTTGCTGTCACATGAGACTACAATTACCCATAATATATTGGGGAGAAAAGAAAGTAATAGGGAAGAATAGAGTAAGACAAATCTAACTTGACTGCACCTATGACTTTGCAAGAGGTAATTTTAATTCTTCCTTCCCCTAAAATTTCAGCTAAAATATAGAACTGAACCATAAATATGATTACAAAAATTTGAGATTCAGCCTCAAAAGTCAATATTTGTTATATCATAATTCATAACAAAATAATATGTACAACTGTTAAAACAGTATAGGGATAACAGAAAGGAAGAAAGTAATGTCCATGTTACCTCTCCAACATATTCAATAAGAAACTGCCCTTTAGCTACACTGTCAAGTGTCTTCAGTCCATAACCCTTTTTCCCACATTTAAACCACTTCAAGCTGGCATAATTGCGTTTTTGGAACTGAAATCAAACATTTGAGCTACAATCATGCTCTACTACAAAAAGACCAGTTACACATATTTCTAAAAGAAAAATAGTTTATAAACCTGCTGATTGGAACAATGGTCCCCACATGGGCAGGTTCCTTGCACACATTCAATGTTAAGCATCCGGTTTAGACACTCGTCCCCACAGCCCAACTTGCCATGTTGAGATGGCTTGCAATGGCAGACCATAATCTGGTAGAAGTTCAGAGGTACAACGAAGGGATATAAAACTGAGGTGCAAATTTACAAATTCCAAAAGCTTAACCATCATGATTAAATATAAATCTTAACCAAAATGTAAAATAAAAACTATCGTGAATGATGTAAGAGCAAAAGGAGCAAGACATATATATGTAGCAATTGGACATATAATTTATGCAAAGCAACAAAGCATACAATTCCTCGTCATATATAAGAAAATAATATAGGGTTAACAATTCATCCCATCCTCAGCAGAGCACATCCACTATATGCAAGTACAAAAGAGTGCAATCATATTTAGCTATATATGCTCTTCATGCTGATCCACTCTGATTCAGATGAACTTCCATGATTATGTTTCCCAATGATTTTAGGAAAAAATAATATTATTAAAAGGAGGGAAACTCAAAAGAAGGGGCAAAGAATCCTCTTGGAGTAAAACAGAATGCACACATACATAAGAAGGAAAGAAACATCTGCTCATCAGAAATCTCAGTCCCTCTGTAAGACAGAAAAGGAAACCAAGACCAGCTTTCACATTTAAGTGTATAAATGCTAATCCAACATGACCACTCGTAAACTTAAAACAATATGCAACTAAATCAAATAATGTAATATGATAATCATATGTAACAAATAAAAAACTAGAACAATCCACGACCTCATCAATAGTTTGAGTTTTGTGGTTACGATGCAGAAACTCATTGGTGAAAATATGGGTAAAAGTTGACTCCTGGGAAACTGCAATTCATAAAGCAAAGTAAACATCAGGCAATAAGAAAGATTAAATGAGATTCCTAAAACAATCTAGCTTCAACCTTATATTTCATTTATAAAAAAAAAGCAAAACAAAACAAAGAAACCTTTATAGCAAATATTACATACCCAATGGCAGTTGATATTCCAATTCCTTATAGGCTTTGGAGTCTTCATACGCATCTTCTTCACCAGAGGCATCCGATAATCCCAACTCTTTATTAATCTCTGCATTTGACTTTTCTTGAGAGATAGCACAATCATCAAAGGATTTATCACTGCTGTCCTTACATGTCCTTCAAAAGAAAATCACCCATGACAAGATACAAGTTATTAAAAGAAACTGAGAATAATATGGACGATATTGCCTAATGTACCTCTGTATATAAAGACTTAAGAGGATTGAAATAATTAACTACAAATATAAATCAAGACTAATAAATTGAAAAAAATGCAATTAAAACTCAGATAATGAATGATGTATTTTTTAGTGGTTTTAAATTGCAAGCAAAGTCAATAAAAAAATCTATTTCCAAACAAACCCTAACATACAAACACAAGCTTATATCATATTCTGCCTCTTCAGCTTCTATTCAAGAATTAGAAAAATGATAATGAGTAAAATGAATGAAAAATGGTATACCAGGTGCAGTTAGTTTCATCAATTTGATCTGCAAGCACAGCTGGAATACGCCGCCACTTGTGACAATCATCACAACGTACCCACGCATTACGTGGTGATAAATGCTGCTCTCCCAAACCAACAGCAGGCAGCATGTCCAAATTAGATACATTGACTGATACTTTGTTGTCACCAGCATTAATTTTTCCAACAGCATCCAACTCAAGATTTCCCACAAAATTTGCTGCAGTGACCACAACAAAAGAATACAAAATCCTATTTATATTTAATTGATAAACCATATAACCAACACAAAAGATTAAGAAATTAATACTAGAAAGTAAGATTTAGATAGCCATGAAGGATGAATTGAAAATAAATAATATTAAACTATGATGAATAAAAAATGCAAAAGATGAAAAATGCAAAATGAAAAGATGAACAAAAAATGCAAAAAATAATATCACAATATGATGCTGTCTATTTGACATAAAAAGATACCTGGAACTGGGTGATCTTCCACTTCACTCGTAACTTTAAGAGAGACACCTTTTCCCTTGACTTCACTCTTATTAGATTGCTTTTTCGGTTTCTCCTTGCTTCTACAAGTAGTTTTTTTCCTGTTCGACGAGTCGGAAGCTTTAGATTTAGCCTTGCTAACTCTACTAGGTTTAAGACTTTTAGAGTTAGGTTTAAGACTTTTCGGTAATTTACGCCCCAAAGATCTTGCAGAAGACAGCAAATTCTCAAAGACCTGGGATTCTCCATGGTCAACCGATGGTTTACAAGTTGTCTTAACTTCCATGTGACATTCAACTTTCAAAGCCTTAGTGGAGCCTCCAAGTTCAATCTCTCCAGAAAGGGGCAATGATTCTATGGATAATTCTTCACTGCTCAGTGATTTGCTTATCTCAGTGGAAGTAGGCAATTCCAAAGAGCTAACTGCATCACTGCAATTCTTCTTACATCTGCGATTCTTTGAATTCTTGGCTCTATTATTACCTGGTGGACCTTGTGCTCCGTCTTCAGTGATACAATTACTGGAACAAATAAGCTTGTCTTTCTTCTTCCCTCGCTTGCTGATGGTAACATCCAAATTAGAACTGAACCCTTTAGACAAATCTAAAACAGCATGATGTAAATCTTCTTGATGTCTTTCTCCAACCTGGCCTTCCGGAATTGAATTGATAACTTCCGAATCAGGTGAAGTTCCAGGATCCATACTCTTATTATTGATTGGATCAATCAATGCCTCAACCACCCTCTCTGTAGGAACTGCAAGACACTGTTCCTCTGCATCCCCATCTGGATTCTTCATTAGTCCAGTATTTTCTAAGTGGCTATTTGCAATTTGACCATTTAGAACAAGACCATCCTTGTCCAAGTCATTTTTGAAAGATTCTAAATTGCCCAAAGCCACAACTTCAGAAAATTTATCTTCAGCATTGCTGGCTACTTTCTGAGAACCTGAACCAGACCCCAAGCAGGAAGCAGAAGCCAAGCCATCAGAGGCCTCTGGAATCAAGACATTTGAACACCTTAAATCAGTTTCCTTCCCAAATTTGATCTTCAAACGATAACGAGTAGTTGAAACAGAACACTTCTGTGCTGAACTTGATGAGCTAGAACTTGCACCATTCTTAATCGCTTTCCCACTTTGACGCTTGTTTCTAGTCTTCCCCACTTCTTGGCACATGGATTCACTGACCCCAAGCTCATTATCTTGCTCAAAAGACTGTTTAATGTTCCCAAGCAATCCCCAGACAGAAGAACGAGCTGGTTTGGAGAAACAACTTCTTTTCTTTCTAAAGTTTATCTTCATAACTACACCTGGATGTGCCACACTGTCTTTGTTCTTGCATTTTCTTGAGGTCTTTTTAGTTTGTGTCTTACTACCAAATCTAGTTCTTCGACTATTCCTTTGAGAAGGTAACAGTAAGCTTTCAGTGACACAATCAATTTCAACAGCTCTTTTTCCATCATTATCTATCCATCCAGGATTGTCCACTGCACTATTATTGTTGATGGGAACATCATCATCCTTACAAAGGAGATCAGACATATCCGTCAAAGAGCTATTGGTGATTAAAACAAAAGTGGGCTGATCTGATTCTGGATACAATGGTTTGCTAAAGTTAGAGTTGGTAGTTTCCTCTGAGGAACTGTCCTTCAATCTACAGATATTATCTTCTATTTGCAGTATACCATTCTTCACTTCACTCCCCGAATCCAACAGGGTAGGCTCACAAGGTGAATCAACTACAGGTGAACTCCCCAAGGTCCTATGGCAACCTGGTGAGGACAATACTTTTACAAATGAATTCATACTGATTTCTTTATCAACAAAAGCTTTAATCTTTTCTTCACAAGTGCTATTCCAATCCTCACCATCTTTCTGATCATGTAGCTCACCACTTGTGCTCTCTACTTCAGTGTCTGTATATAATGCACCCAACGGCACTTCCATACCCGGTGAAGGAGATATCTGCCTGCAAGCATCAATTTCCATCCCACTTAAAGCATCACATTTTTCCACAACCTTTGGCAAGGGATCTGCATTCCTCATAATTTCTTCCTGCTCACTCTGCTGGTTGCAATCAACTACCAAGTCAGTCATGGAATCTGATTCCAAAGACACTTCAGAATGCCTGAAACCAAACACACAATTGAAAGCATCAGCAAGTAAACCAGCATCGTCGTTTTTGCCTTCCACAACTGCTGAATCATCCCCTGCTGAGGGTAATATGTTGCTCTTGTCATCCTTCTGCTCACCCTGTTGAGCACAATGCTTCTCCAATTTATTTGTGGGTACAGTCTCCGATGGAACATCCAAGCTGCCTTGATCATGAAACTTCCCTCCTGAGCACAAACCACCACTTTGTAGACAGGAAACTTCAATGTTCCCACCACAAATCCCCAAACAATTCTGACAATCATCTTCAGCAGTTTTCTCCAATAGGAACATATCAGCATTTTCACATTCACTTGCCAAAGCATCTCTGGAACCCTCGGTAACATCAACAAAGCTTGCCTCAGTCATACTGGAGAGGTCAACATTAGAGTCCAACACATTGCAAGCTTCTTCTATACCGGATTGCTGCACAGGAACAGACTGTACCGGAAACTCTGAGCACAGATGCTGCTCAATAACAGACCCACCTGAGGGATCATCAACAATAGCAGATTTCCCACACGAACCCATCTCAATCACAAACAAAGCATTCAAGAAATCTAGCAAACTACCACTAATCCTTCCCTCACTGATTAACAAAACTGAACTTCAAAAAAGACAACAATCACCAAAGCGAGCTCAATGCATCAACCAATATCTCGTAACACAACCTTAAGGAAACGGTACCTTGAATCAAAGAAAACGACACAACACTACCTGCACGTGAAAATCATACCCCAGTAAGAAAACCCTAGAAAGCAGCATTATCCTGAGGCCCTCTGCACGGAAAGAGAGGGGGGAAAAAAATAATCAGAAGAAAAAGAAAACCCTACTTTCAGGAATTTCGCAAAATAATGCAGACGGGAACACGGGTTCCTAGGTAAAAATACGTTACGGAAATAATAATAATAATAATAATAATATACCGAAAATTGAAAACAAAAATAAAATAGATAAAAAAAATCAGAACGAGAAAAACGAAAAACGGAAAAAACAAAACGGGAAGAGCAAGTCGATTACAGATACTTACTTGCTCAGGGATGTGTGAGGTTGAGGATAAGGAAGGTTTGGCCTTTTCAACAATGGTATTTTTCAAAAATAAAAATAAAAAAAATTATTCTTTTCCCTCTGGGTCGAGGAGAGAGAGAGAGAGAGAGAGTTGGGTCTGCGTCGCGCGCAGAGAAGAGAGAGAGAGAGAAAAAGAAAGAGATGGGTTGGTGAACTTGTCAACGAAAACAAAATAAAACAAAACAAAATCAAAATCAAAAACTGTTTGAGAAAAAGAGCACTACACAAAAGAAAATAGAGAGATCGTGGTTTCTTCAGACCGGAAGAGGCTTTTTCGTTTTTAATTTTTAATTTCTAATTTTTTATTAGTGGGACCTAAATTCGATGTTGATTAGACCGTTTTACCCTACGCGCCTCTCATCTCTTTTTGTTCCTCGCAGGACACATATCATAAAAACATCTGAGGCATTTTTTTGCCATCAATATTGTCCATCATAGTTTTCGGATTTCCATTTTTTTTTTAAATAATTTTAATAATGCATTTGATGTTTGTCATTTTAAACGACATAAGTTATGTCATTTTAGAAGAGATATAGATACAAAAAATGAAAATCGTAGAAGAGAAAGTGAGTGATTTTTTTAATTTAAATTTTAAATAAAAAATATTATTTTATATCTATCTCTCTTTAAATGATATAACTTTATGTCATTTAAAATAACAAATATTTTTCTCCTTAATAATAATATGAAATAACGAAGGAAAAACTTTATTTTCATCCCGTGTAATTTAATGATGTATTACTTAATCCTTTGTGATTTTAAATTTATTATTTGTACCTATTGTGGTAAATAAATTTATTATTTATCTCTATGTGATTTTAAACATTTAGGTAATAAAAATATATCACATAAACCATAATAGTTTATAAATATAAAATTCTTTATTTTTTCTAACTTTTATTTTATATAATTATGATATCATCAAATAAGCTTTTATAAAATTAATTATTAATGATTAAATTTAAAAATATCTAAAGATATTTATTTTGAAATTATTTCCAAAATCTTCTTTTTTTTTTTTTAGTTGTGTAAAAACCATATTTAAAATTAAGAATATTATTCAAGAGAAATTGAAGGTGTATTAGTTAAAAAAAAATTAACTATATGAAATAAAATAAAATAATATCTGACTTAAATTTATTTTTACGATAAAAACATAAGACCACAAAATTTAAATATGTATCATCTAATGAATTTAATTCAAATATAATAAAAATAATTATTTATTCTTATAGTGAATCAAACGCTTACATTTAAATATATGTATTATATATATGTGTGTCTGCGCGCATGCGCTTGCGCCTATGCATGTGTGCGTGTGTATATATGTAAAAAATTATAAGAAATTTAAGTGATATATTTTTAGAGGAAGGTTATACTTACATTTTATTTTCATTTACAATCATATTTTAACCATTGATTTTCGTCGATCAACGGTTATCATTTATTATGAATTCATAATTAATTAATAAGTTTGATTTGTAAAAATTATAATCGTTGATTGGCGAAAATCAATGATTAAGATATGATTATAAGATATTGTAAATGAAAATAGGTTATAAGTATATATTTCCTCATATTTTTATAGGGTAATTGTAGTCTCATGTCACATAAAAATTTTGTTATCTCTTACACACTCAATTTAAAGTGGGGCCCAATAGAAAAAAATAAAAAATAATAATAATTGGCACAAGTATCGATGTATGGACATAAGATAAAAATAATTCCTATTGCATAAGAGTAACATTGCCCATTTTTATAACTACAATGTATATACATGGTACTTTAAAACCACATGCGATTAAATGATATGAGTGACAAATCTATCTCTATATATATATAAAGGAGAGTTCACTGCTGGAAAGTTTTGCCAAGTGTCACTCCCTGGTTAATTCTACAATTAGGTTATATACAAACTTTCTTTATTGGGTAAATTGGAAAATAAAACTCTTTTAAAAATTGAATTTTAAATTTTAAATCGAATAATAGTTGCAGACAATGCATTGAATGTCTCACTGCCCATCACATTGGTATCCAAAAAAAAAATCAGCTGTTTTAATTGTTTTTTATGTTGGAATTGGTTATCTCATCTGAAATTCGAAATTTTAAATGGTTTATCAATTAAATTTCGAAATTATGTATTTATTTGCACAATCTGAAATTCGAAATTTTAAATTCAATAAAAAGAAAACTCTTTTCACGGACATGCATTCACGATCTCTATTCATGGAGATTAGAGATCAATAGAAACAAAAACAAATTTCACAATTGTTGAAGACCTTATCGTCATTCAATTCACAATTTTGTTATGGTTATTTTTTTAAAAAATATATATACAATAATGATATAACAAAGACATTATTTTTGTTATATAGACATTATCTTTGTTATATATTTGATTCAAATATCATAACAATCAAGAATCAAGAGAGCTGACAGACAAAATAAATTAAATACCAAAACCAAAACTATCATATCAGATAAACTATCATACCAATATTCTTTTAAAAATTGAATTTTCGAAATTTTAAATGGTTTATCAATTAAATTTCGAAATTATGTATTTATTTTGCACAATCTGAAATTCGAAATTTTAAATTCAATAAAAAGAAAACTCTATCAGATAAACTATCATACCAATATTCTTTTAAAAATTGAATTTTCGAAATTTTTAAATGGTTTATCAATTAAATTTCGAAATTATGTATTTATTTTGCACAATCTGAAATTCGAAATTTTAAATGCAATAAAAAGAAAACTCTTTTCACGGACATGCATTCACGATCTTTATTCATGGAGATCAAAGAAACAAAAACAAATTTCACAATTGTTGAAGACCTGATCGTCATTCAATTCACAATTTCGTTATGGTTATTTTTTAAAAAATATATACACAATAATGATATAACAAAGACATTATCTTTGTTATATAATTGATTCAAATATCGTAACAATCAAGAATCAAGAGAGCTGACAGACAAAATAAATTAGATAATCATGTGTTTTAATTTCTTTTTATGATGGAATTGGTCGTCTGATCTGAAATTCAAAATTTGAAATGGTTTAAAATTTTGAATTTAAATATGGATGGTGGGAAAAGAATTTCTTTTAAAAATCGAATTTTAATTTTGTAATTGAATAATTAAATGACCGTTTATGGTGGCAGACATAAAAGAATAATTAATTAATAAATATGGTTTTGAAATTCGAAATTTTAATTGGATAATTAAATGTTTTAATTGCTTTTTATGTTGGAATTGATCATCTGATCTGAAATTCGAAATTTGAAATGGTTTGACGATCCGTTTGGAGGATTAAGGCTAGAGTTGTTAGAACATGGAAGGTTCCTAATTTTCAGCAAAAAAAATTTGACGACAACGTAGAGATGATTCTGTTAGATGAAAAGGTATTTGTTTTTGTTTTGTTTCTTATATTACTGTTGGTTTGCGGTCCATGTTTTTAAAATGTACTAATCTATGCATGTGTTTTGTAGGGTGGAAGGGTCCACGCTGCTATCAAGGGTTCTTTAAATATCCGTAACAAAATTCACGAAGGAGAAGTTTATTTCATAAAAAAATTTTGGAGTTGGTTTGAATAGTGGGAGTTTCAGGCCAACTAAGCATGATTATCGTTTGTCCTTCAACTTGAGGGCTGATGTAAAATCTACTATTGATTCTGCTATTGCCACCAATGGATTTGATTTTGTAGATTTTGACGTTATAGAGAAAGAGTCTTCTGATTCCCCTTATTTAGTAGGTTTGTAGATTTTGAACTGTCCACTAAGTCATGCTTTTATTGTTTGTGTGACAATATCATCTGTCTAACAATCCTTAATGTGTAGATGTCATCGGTTTAGTTTCTGGAATAGGGGAAGTTCGTGAGCATATTATCTCTGGTAGGAAGACAAAAATGGTTGTCATGGAGCTTGATAACCTCAGGTATCTATTGGTTATTTGTTATGTGTTATGTTCATTTGATGTAAAATTCTATTTTGTGATTTGTTGCAAAAACTGTGCAAGTAGGGGTCACAAGCTCGAGTGCACTCTCTGGGAGGACTTCGTGGACCAGGTGCAACAAATTTTGGGGAGTCATCAATCTCTCCAAACGTGATGATAGTTCAGCTTGCTAGAATAAAGGGTTTCAGGGGTGAGTTCACATAAATATTTGATTATGATTTCATAATGGAATGTTTTAGTTTATTTCCCTCCTTATGGTTTTGAAATTAATAATAAATTTTAAAGGAAAAATTGGAATAACAAATACAAAGTATACGACGAGGATAATTATCGGTCATAGTGTACCAGAGATTGTCGACTTCAAAAAAAGGTGCGAGCTGTTCTTATTCCATTATTCTGCTCTTTTCTTTATTATTTATCGCTGATTATTTGTAATGTTGTTGTTTTTTATGCTTTCGTCTGATGTCATTGATAGCGGTTACACGTTGTCTCAGTTATCAAGTCAGTCCTCATATTCTTTTGAGAATGATTTCCTGAAAGAGACGGAAAGGAAGTGTATCAGTGATGTTAAGAATTGCAGTGAGGTTACTACTTGCATTACTTATGGAACCATAAAATCGATTGAGAGCAAATATAAATGGTGGTACAAGTCCTGTAATAAATGTTCATATTCTGTTTATGAAGATTTCGAGAAATGGTATTGTAAAAACTGCCAAAAACATTTTGATGATTATTATCCAAAGTAAGATTTTATATCTATTTTTGTTGTTGTTATTATTAGATCGTTCATTTTATTTATAAATAACACAATCGGTGGTCATGTGTTGCAGATTTTGTGTGCAATTGAGAGTTGTGGATAACACTGATTCTGCATCTTTCATTCTGTTTGATAGAGACTGTGTTGCTTTGTTGGGCATGAGTGCTGCGGATTTACGTGAGAAGCATTTCAAAAGGGTTTGTGTTCTTATTCCACTCATTTTTTTATTCATTTAAAGTTCTTATTAAAATTTCATTAATATTTTTTTTGCAGGGTGATGATTTTGAGCACTATCCTAAGGAACTTAATGTTCTTATTGATAAATCCATGTTGTTTAAAGTGAATGTGAAAAAAAATAATTTGGACTCATACAGTGAGCCTAGGTATCAGATTTCTAAAGTATGTATAAGCGAACCTGTAATCACATCCTTCCTTAATACTGTTGTGGATACGAATGTGAGTTATTTTTTTATTAACATTATTATTCCTATTTAGGTTTTGTTGTTCTCATTCTGCGTTTCAATGGATTTGATTTTTTTCAAAATATTTGTTTTAAATGCAGGATGAAGGATTATTTGACAAGGCTTGCGACAGTGTCGTTGCATCAGCAGAACCGGAAAGAGCTACGGTATCTCGAAATTATTGCTTATGAATTAATCAAAAAAATGTTGCATGCAGTTTTATTGCAAAACATAAGTTAATTTCAAACAATATTTGTTTCTGACAAGGATGTGGAAAGTCAGACGTGTGATAGTGCAGACGTTGGTGATATTTCGCTATCAATGCTGACGCCGTTAAAGAATCCTAATGATCCCCTTCAAGACGATTTTAATTCATCAGTTGTCTGTCCTCCTAAGAAGATTAAGCTAGAGAAAGAGTTGAGTACTTACCCATTATTTTTTTTCTTTGTGTAGCTTTTTTTATTTATAATCGTGAGTGTGATGTGTCTATTAATACGTCGTTATTTTTTTGTTTCTGTTTAGATTTGATGTTGTTCTGAAAGACGCGTAGCTGGAACAATGTCACTTGGAAGCTGGAACAACGCCACTTTAAAGTTTTTTGTTTTTTTGTTTTAGAGATTGTTTGGGATTGAACAATATAATTGTAGTTTTTTATTGCTGTGTTTTGGTAATCACTTCCTCCGTGTTTAACTTCAAATAGGAGTGTTCATGTAGACAAAGTAATGTTTATGCAATTTACAAAAAAAAAAAAGAGTAATGTTTATGCATATTCTGGAATACAAGTTTATCTATTTGTCATTAGTTATTTTCCATAATATTTTCAATTGTTTTATTGGAATGATAAATATGTGGTTAATCCGGTAATTGGATAATCAGCTGTTTAATAAGTTTCAAAATTCGAAATTTTAATTGTATAATCAGCTGATTTAATTGCTTTTTATGTTGGAATGCGTCATCTGATCTAAAATTCGAAATTTGAAATGGTTTAAAATTTTGAATTTAAATATGGATGGTGGGAAAAAAATTTCTTTTAAAAATCGAATCTTTATTTTTTAAATCGAATAATTTAATGACCATTTGTGGTGGCAGACAAGGCATTGAATGTCCCACTGCCCGTCACATTGGTATCAAAAAAGAAATCAGCTGTTTTAATTGCTTTTTATGTTGAAATTGGTCATCTCATCTGAAATTCGAAATTTGAAATGGTTTAAAATTTTGAATTTAAATATGGATGGTTGGAAAAGAATTTCTTTTAAAAATCAAATTTTAATTTTTAAATTTAATAATTAAATGAC